GGGTCAGCCAGTGTCCCTCCAGGTTTGGGACAGTGTCTCTTGGCAGTTCATTCGGCCCTTAAAGTCTTGGTTTCTCCCCGTCAAGCGCCTCACTGGCTAACGGGAACCTCTGTTTGAAGAGCTTGGTGAAGGCTGGCACATGGGGAAACTGAGGCCTCAGGGGTGGGGCTTACTTGTTCCAGAAAGAGCCATGCCTCTGGGACCCTGTGCCCCTCCTCCTGCTCCTCCCCCTGCACTGGGGGCTCAGACCCCAGGAGAGCAAAGCTCAAACCCTCAGCCTCACTGCTGGGACCCTCATCTTCCCAACTGAGGGCCCACCCACCACTCTGACAACCTCTGAGGGAGACTGAGGCAGAGGTGGGCTAGTGGGGTCGTGCAGGCCAGCCACCGCACGGATCTACAGTGTCACCCTGTCTGGGCCTGCCCTATTCTGGTCCCTGAGACCCTCCGGGTGCTGCCCCTGTGTGCCTCCAGCATTGTTTGTATGAGGAGGCAGATGGGGACCAGGGAGGGGGCCAGGATGCGGGAGAGGATTTCCGGCTTCCTGAATCAGCAGCGGGGGGCGGGGGGGGCTGCAATGTCCCCAAGTATGGTGTGGTGTCCTCTCCCTGTCCCCCACCTAGGGAAAGAATGTGACAGGGCCCAGAAGGAAGGCAAGAGGAAGCCAGTGACCTCCGCCAGCCCAGGCACGGGAGAAGGCATCCATCATCTGGGCTGAGCTCAGCCTCCCCCTCCCTGGGAAATTTCCGGGCGCCAGAGACCCCTGACCCGGAGGGAGGAGGAGAGGGGGCCCACCTGGGAGTCTAAGGCCTGACCCAGCTCTGACTGCAGTCCTCAGGTCTGGAGCCTGGGCAGAGCTGGGAAGGAGCCCTGGGGAGCCACGCCCAGTGCACCCACCCGCAGCCCACTGCCAAGGCCAGCACCTGCTTCCACTCTCTCCCCTTCACGGCCTGGGGCGCTGCCTGCTGCCCCAGAGCCATGCGCCCCGGCTCTACCAGGTGGCGTCCAGCCTCACGGGGAGGGCAAGGGGTGAAGGACCACCAGGGGGTCTGGCTGTGTGTGGGGGTCCTGACCCGTGGGGTGCTGCCCCTCCAAGGCCACAGACCCCTCCCACCCTGGCTCCCTGAGGGAGTCAGGAGGATGAAGTCCAGGGTGTCCACAGCCCCCAGGCTAGCTGAGCTCCCTCCTTCAGCCGCCAGCCACCCATAGCCCGAGGGGACTTGTGACCTCTTTCCTGAAGACCCTGGGGTCCAAAGAGCAAGGCCAAGGGGTTCTGCAGGGACAGATAGCCCAGAAGGGGACTCTGCCCAGGGTGGCCCCGAAGGTGGTCCCTGCCCTCTCTTAGGTCTCTGCCCTGCCTCTTAGCTCCACACATGGAGAAGTGCTGAGGCAGCATCCCTGAATCACGTGGGACCAGGAGCCATGCCCTGCCTGCAGGGCAGTGGGGGTCAGGAGCCCAGGGGGCAGGGAAACAGCGGCTTACCCAAACCTGGCCCCGATCAGTGTCCTCAGGGCCAGAGCTGCCCAATCAGTTGGGGGGGGGGGGGTTGGTGCTTAGGACCAGGGTTCCCAGTCAGGACTAAGGCCCCAGGACAGGACCAGGGTCCCAGAATAGGACCAGGGCTCCAGGATAGAACCAGGCTTTCCAGGATAGAATCATGGTTCCCAGGACAGGACCAGGGCTCCAGGACAGGACCAGGGCTCCAGGACAGGACCAGGGTTCCCAAGGTAGAATCAGGGTTCCGAGGACAGAAATAGGCCTCCAGGACAGGACCAGGGCCCCAGGACAGGACCAGGGCCCCAGGACAGGACCAGGGATCCAGGACAGGACCAGGGTTCCCAAGGTAGGATCAGGGCTCCCAGGACAGAAAGAGGCCTCCAGGATAGGACCGGGACTCCAGGACTGACCAGGGCTCCAGGACAGGACCAAGTCTCCCAGGACAGGACCAGGGCTCCAGGAAAGGACAACGGCCCCAGGACAGGACCAGGGCTCCCAGGCTGGGGTCTGACCACAGGCAGTGGCAGATGCAAAGGAAGCCGAGGGCAGTGGTCACTGCAGGTGGGCCTGATGGGCCTTTGGAAACCTGGCCATGGGGCAGGACAGCCAGGCAGGGCTTGGAAGGAAAGTCTGCAGTGACTCTGGCACCTGTCAGAACTGGGAGGTGCTTTTAGCAAATCCTGGAGGGGAAGTGAGGTCTGAGGACCCAGGGCCGGCCTGCGGGGGCCTCCGGAGGTATGGCTGTTGCTGCCCCGTGGTGAATGGTTCCGCATGTGGGGTCCAGTGGCCTCGTGGAGAAAGAGCATGCTGGGGACAGGGGTACGGAGACCCCTGGGAGAGGGCATCCTTGCCAAGCTGGGGAGCAGGCCGGGCTGGGGCAGGGGCGAGGCCCGTCTGCAGTGTGGGGCAGCTCTCCTGTCACGTGGACATGGGGAGGGCCCGGCACAGCCTGGTCTGGCCCTGGTGAAGTTCGGAGTGCACGCTGGGGGTGCACATGGGGCCTCCAAGGGGTTGGGATTCCGGGATCCAGACCTGCCAAGCCCAGGACCCTGGGACATCCTGAGACTCCCTTCCATGCACCGTGTGGAAGCCCTGTCCCCGCTCTCCTCAGGGTCTCAGGTCCATGGCTCCCCACAGGGAGGGGTGCAGGGCCACACCTCAGCTCCACCGGGGGGCCCCGCAGAGACCCGTGGTCCTGGCCAACCCTGTGGGACCCCACAGCTGGGCAGCCAGAGCAAGGAGAGGGTATCTTGACCTGGCCCACAAGTGGGACACAGGAGGGGCAGGCACCCTGCCCGGGGCACGTTGTTGGGGTATGCCCCAGTCCTAGGCCCTAATGTGAGGTTCTGACAGGAGAGGCCCCATCCTGGGGCTGTCTGAGGGAGGTGGTCCCATCCCATAGCAGTCTGAGGGGCGTTGGCCCCATCCTGGGGCAGTCTGAGAGGGGAAGCCTCAGCCTGGGGGCAGTCTGAGGGAGGTGGCCCAATCCTGGGGCAGTCTGAGGAGGATGGCCCATCCTGGGGCAGTCTGAGGAAGTGGCCCCATCCTGGGGCAGTCTGGGGGGGGGGGGGTGGCCCCATGCTAGGGCAGTCTGAGAGGGAAGGCCTTATCCTGTAGCAGTCTGAGGGGGATGGTCCCATCCTGAGGCAGTCTAAGAGGGGAGGCCTCATCCTGGGGGCAGTCTGAGGGGGATGGCCCCATCCTGGGGCAGTCTGAGGGAGGTGGACCCATGCTAGGGCAGTCTGAGAGGGGAGGCCCCATCTTGGGGCAGTCTGAGGGAGCTGAAGCCATCTTAGAGTAGTCTGAGGGGGGTGGCCCCATCCTGAGGCAGTCTGAGAGCGGAGGCCTCATCCTGGGAACAGTCTGAGGGGGATGGCCCCATCCTGGGGCAGTCTGAGCAGGGTGGCCCCATCTGAGGGCAGTCTGGCAGGGGTTGGTCTGAGGGGGGTGGCCCCATCTTGGAACAGTCTGAGGGGACAGTCTGAGGGGACAGCCCATTGCCCAGTTGCAGGGGGGAGGCCTGACCTGGCTGGATAGGAGGGGCGATGTCTTGGATGCAGGCAATAGAGGGGGTCTGGGGGCAGGTCTTATCTGGAATGCTCCAGCCCCAACCTGCCCAGCCTTGGCCCTCCTGGGGTCTCCCATGGGGGCTTCCCAGGTCACACATCCCCATCCTGGGCAACGGGACTTCTCACCCACTCTGGACAGGAAAATCCCAGTTCCCTTAGTCACCTTGTGAAATGAGAACCGTGCCTCACCCTGGGTCTCAGTTTCATTCTGACACCACATTGGGGGGGTGGGGAGGGGTGCTTGGGGGGGGGGGTCCCAGGCCCTAAGGGGCCAGGGGCATTTAGCCAGCTCTCAGGCCGAGCTCCTGACCGAGCAGGCACAGGTGCCTCCCCGCCTGCCTGGGCCTCGGCCGCGGTCCACGCCGTCCTCTGTGTCCTCCGCCCGCGGGACAGCTGGGGTGGGGGGGGTCAAGGAGGGAGGCGGGGATGCCCCGGCCAGGCTGCTCAAGCCGTGCCCTTCTATGGGCACACGGTGGCCGGAGGAACACGAGACAGGCTGATGGGAGGAGACATTCCTGAGTGGGGCACAGCTGTCTGCCGGTCGCCCCCTCCCCCCAGCGCTCGGGCCCCTGAACCCCCGAAGCAGGGCGCCCTGTGGGCCTGGGCGAGGGGAAGGCACCCTTCCACCTGCCTCACGCACACATGCACGCTCATGGCAGAGACTTCCAGATCGGTTCCCTCGTTACGAATAACGTCGCCACAGGATCGGGGAGGCGACGACAACCTCAGTGGTTAGAATGCACTGAACAAGTCAGCCCTGAGGCTGTGGGGACCTGGCCCGCGCCTCCGCCCTGCCCAGCAGGTGCTGCGGGGGGCTGGGGGGGGGGGGAGCAGACGGAGCTGACCAGCAGCGCCCTCCTCTCCATGCTGGTGGCTCTGGGTGTCCTGTCCCTGCACAGGCTGGCACCCAGCGGCTCCGCGGGGCTCCCTGCCCAGCTCTGGGTGTGCTGGCACTCCCCTTCTGCCCGCGTCCGCCTCCCGCGCCATCTCTAAGCAACAGCGGCTGCAGCACTGGGAGCAGGCAGCGGCCAGCATCGTCACCTCCGTCACCTGGGTGGGGGCGGGCGGGGGACCGGGCCCGGCCTCCAGCAAGGGCTTCGAGGGTCCTGGGGCCAAGCAGCCCCTCCCGGCCAGGCCCTCCCACGCCCACCTCCTGCCGGGGTGAGGCCCTGAGTCCCTGCCTCGGGGGTCCGGGCCTCCGTGTCCTGGGTCAGCATCCCAGCGGCTGGGGCGCGAAGCCGGCCTCTCCCGCCGAAGCCCGGCTACAGAGGCCGACTGGAGAGACACGCACCCACCGCGGGGTGAGACGGGGACCCCGGGAGGTACCCTGCAGCCGCCTGCTGCCCCAAGTCCCGGTGGCCCCATCCACCCCCAGATTAAGCGTCCCCCAGTGTGAATGCGAACTCTCCCGTGCGCTCAGAACGGACTCTTACCCGGCGTCTTTGTCCACCAGTAGCGCCTCCTGCTCCTCGGAGCCAGGGTGGCTCGGAGCCTCTGCCATCGGGCCGGGGTCCGGGCCGCTTGGGGCTGTGCGTCTGCCTGTGGCTCCCGCTGCTCCCTCAGACGGCTGGTCCCAGAGTCCCCCTCCCCCAGCTGGGTTTCACTTCCCCCTTCCGGCTGCAGGTTGAGGTTTGAAGGGCACTGGGGCTGGGGTTGGGGTGTTGTTTTTTAATCTGTTGATGCAAGAGAAGAGAAAAAAAAAAAAAAAAACCAACCAGTCATCAGGAAGTGTTAAGCAAGTTGCAAGGGCCAGCGGTGACAGAGAGGGGCCCCGGGAAGGCAGCAGTGCGTGCACGGGCCAGACAGTGTCGGGACGCCTGTCGGGGAGCCCCCATGGGCTCCTGAATCCCCCACAGTCCTGGATGGCAGTCTGGGCGCGGCAGGCCGTGCATAAGCACCAGGACACGGGTCCGGCCCCCAAGCCTCCACGATAGGCATCATCTCTCTGGACGGAAGCCTCCCGGGAGCGGAGCACAGATGCACCTGTTCTCCGAGCCTCTCGAGGCCACACCTCGGGCCCCCCGACTGGTCTGAGCTCTTCAGGCCACTGACCGCTGGGGCCCTGCAGAAATGCCCCGCGCCGCACACCCCTGCTTCCTTTACTTCCCTGAGCTGCTGGATTCCCCGGTCTCCTCGCCCCCATACTCAGGGAGCTTGGAGCTGACTTGGCACCAGCAGCGTCACCAGGCCCTGGAGGTGGGGGCGTAGGGGCTCCTCAGGGAGGCGGGGAGGGCAGTAGCGCCCCCAGAGTGTTCATGCTTCAGGGTGGGGCCTGGCCAAGGGACAAGCCGACTGGGAGGCGGTGAGGCGCCCTCGTCCCCACCCACACGCACCGAGGAGCCTCCCCATTCAACACTGCGAAGGGGGTCCCGCACCAGGACTGCGCAGGGCCACCGGGAGCTCTCAGCCTGCTGCCTCCCCCGTCCCCTCTGTGGTTCCCAGGGTCACTCTCGCTGTCCTGCCACGGACCAGGATGCAGTGGCTGGACGTCCGTCCGAGTGGGGGCTGGGCCTCAGCATCGCGGCCAGCATCCCCAGGGACACGGGCCACCCCGGATCGGCCGACATTTGGTCCTTCCTCTGCCCCTACGGTGAGGTCGGCCCCAACATCACAGCTGGGAAATTTAGGGGCCTTGCCAGGAATGGTGAGGGCAGATAGAGGCCGGGTGCCCCTCCCAAGACATGGCTTCCGGCCGCCACCGCTGTCCCCTGATTCACGGGCCTGGTGCGGGGTGAAAAGGCGGGGCCTCTGGGTCAAACGCTATTAAGAATGTCAAAAGGGAGACTTTTTGGGAGCTTGAAAGCAGTGCCGAGGGGGGCGCCGCCCTGACCTGCCGGACCCGCCTGTTCACCCCCTCTCAGGCCCTGGCCCTTGTGACCCTCTGGACGCTCGCCGGACACCAGGGCCCTCACCGGCTGCTGGCCTCCCCTGCCCACGCCCATCCTCAAAGGCCCAGAGGCAACTGCTCCCTCCTGTCGGGGGG